TATCTGCAGAATAGTGGGAATATCTTGTGTCAGTATTTTAACATACTCGGGCTATAATGAAGAGTGTATGATGTCATTGTTGCCTTTTACTGAAGACCTGGGAGTCAAAGATCTAGTGAAATCTAATGGGGTGGTGGTTTTTTTCTCAGATAAACAAGAAATTGTTTTTAGTGAGAACAGATCACACAGATTTCCCTGTGTGTCTTTACCATGGCTCTCATAGCGCTCTGTTATCTGCAAGCAAAGGTCCTGTTCCTGGAGTGTGGGGCTAAGGTTAATGACTTGCAGGTGTTCTAGTGTCTTTTAGACTTGGTCTGCCACTAATATCATAGATAATACATTTGCTCTCTGAATAACATTGCCTGGATTTATTTTTTTTTTTTTTACTTTGCTTAATGTCAGGTGCTTTAATATTCATAGAAACGAACCATACCGGGTACTTTGGTACTTTCAGATAACTACTCTCCCTGGTGTGCTTCCAGATCCCAGTCTCTTAATATTCCCAGTGCATGTATAGTAGTTCACTCATGAGCTTTCATTTGAAGTGAATGAACTATTTTCACTGACAAGAAGCCTGGAAACTACACTAGAAATAGTTTCATCTGGGCACCTGTGTGCTCCACACAGTACTCTACCACTATCCTAGCTAACTTTGTACCTCACATCTTTCCATGTTCCTTTTTGCCACTCCACACCATGTATGTAAAGATGGTTATGTCATCATGCTATAAAAACACCCCTCTTCTGGCCTGACTTTCATGTTCGTTCAAGATTTTCAACTATGCTACCTCCACCTCCCCAATTATTTTCTTAGCAGCACCGTGGAAGACCCAGGTCAAGTGCTGCGTAATATGGATATGACATGTCTGCTCCGAAGGAAGCTAGTAACCCTGAGTGCTGCACGCCTAAGCTACTCGGCACCCCTTGGCCCATTGGCCAGGGGTTAATCTCTGCTGCAGTCATCCTTAGCAGTGTGAATCTTCTGATGGCATGCTAAAGATAGACACAGGGGCACTAGTGACCATGAGCCATACATGACATGGGACCATAAGATGGCAAATTTTTTACCCTGCCTAATGAGCACTGCAACTCAGTTTGATCTGCAGTCCCTATTTCAATTTTCATCTTTCTCCCTACATTTATTCTGTGTACATTCTCATGATGCATCTTCCTTCTAAAGGGTGCCATCCTCTATAGGTTAATTCTGGGTCTCTCATGAAAAGCCACATGCACTTTTTCAGAGCCTGGGGTGGGGGTTTTGCTGTGAGCAGCACACTGGGAGACAGGGAAATCGCCAAACTCTCCATCCTGCAGTTGGGAACTGTACATTAACAAGCACCATGTACAGAAATAGCTCCCACATATTCGTGGACTGTGTGTCGAGGAATAGAGAGGTGTGGCAGAAAGACCGAGACAGATTCAACTGCCAAAATAATCAAGAGAAGTGAATAGTGTCCAAGGTGTTCATTCCCTAAAGTGTTTTCCTTTTTTTTTTTTTTTTTTTTTTTTTTCTCCCTGGCTTCAGTAGAGTCAGAGATCTTCTGAGAAATGAGTGCCTCTATTTCAACTTAATTCCTCTTGGTGTGGTGTAGTGGGGAGCTATTACAAGTAAAGCTGCAGTGTCACAAAACAGAGAAGATCACTTTTCATTTACCATGTCCTTGTATTCCAAACTGAAAAGCAGTTAACACAGAATCCAAGATGAAATGTCAGAGAGGGGTTTATACCATGTATGAAATGGAAATGCATTTGTTTAGAGGAAAAAACAACACAACGCACTGATGCTTGTTGGATGTGAAAATGGCAACTAAGTGGTTTTGAGTATGTCTAAGTGTTTTTTGTACTATTAACTGAGCAGTTGAGCTGAACCTTTGAACATTCATTTTGGATTTGCTTTTAGGACAAAAATTCAGATACGAGTTCGTTTTCTCTGTTGATCATGACATACCACTTTGCAGCAGATTTCTTCTGTGGTTTATTGTCAGCAGAACCCCATCCTTGAACTTTTGCTTGTTTGCAAGACTTAGATCCAAGAATTACTGAAGATGACTGACTGGACAATGCTGTTGGAGATACAAGGATTTTTGGATCTGGTTCTGATTTTATTGTAGACATTAGCACTTCTTATCTCTAGATATTATTAGATAGGAGGAGAAGAGTTTTAGGTATAGTTAAAACTACAAAGACAAGTGAAATTATCAAACTGATGCTGAGCTCGGGAAATACTATAGGAAGAAACAGTTTTGTATCTCATGTATCTCTCAATAGAATAGCATCATGAAAACAAGGATAGGATATGATGTTCCCACACAAACAAGACTTGCCTTTTTGTCTAGTCCTATTGCTTAACTAAGGCTTTGTTTGTTCCTGTTTCCATGGCCTTTGCCCGGGGGGGACATGACGACCTCCATTTTCCAGTTCTATCATACAATATAAAATGAGAATATTGGCATTTGATGGTAGGCTATTTGCTGATAAAATATACTGGCCTCAGTAAAAAGACTTCTGTAATTTGGCAGTCAGTCCTTTCCTACTAACTACAGATTGATAAATAATAACTAACTTGTTTGTCTGAAACGTCAAGAAAGCAGAGTAATCCAGCTTCAGCCAATTCTGTAACACAAAGTTGGACTTCCATGGTGCAACTTTATGGATTAGGCCAAGCCAAGACTGCTTTCAGAGCGAAATATTTTTTTCTTGTGATGGTACTCAGCCATTACGTTGCTTTTCTTTTATCTCCATTGACAGACATTAATAGAGCAAAGTGCAATGTGGTGGCTGGTGCAGTGTGGTAATGTCTGATGCCGATGGCCTTTCTGAGCCCATTAGATTTATAGATTTATTACAGCCAGAGTATTTTAACCTGAAAGATTCTGTACTGCTTCAATTTAAGTCATGTTTGGTTATGGACATTTATTACTAATCTGAAATCTTGTCTGACTGGACAAAATCCAAGTTGGATAACTATCATCAGTGAGGCATCGTAAGTGAAGAGTGTATGCTAAAATACTTCCTGTCTGAGTTTTAGTGCATCTGTGTTAGCTTTTGTATGAGAGATGCAGTAAAAGCTTTGTCTTTTGGGGAATCTTGAGAGAAACTGGAAAATAGCTAACTAAAGAAAATGAAGTGGCAGAGAGTCTGAGTTGAAGGTCAGCACACAGGAAGATGTGGCTGGTGAGCATGATTTGAGGGTAGCTCCACACCTGCCGTAATGTGAGAGGTAGTGCAGTGCCACCATGTCCTGGAGCCTTCCATGCTCCAGCAGCTGTTGTTAGTTACCTGTTTTGGTTTTAGCTGGTGTTTGGAACTACAGCAGCAAAACTTAGCTGTGAGAATTCCTTAGTGTGCTGGTATGGCCCATCAGTGCAAACAAGAGTGTTAGGTCACCTCGTTCACAGGGTCAGAACTGGGCCACAGGCATATGTTTAACTACAGCTGTGCCTTGCAAGAGAATCCCTGTGAAGAACCCCAAGTGTACTCTGTACCCTCAGTAATCTTTGTATTTTAAAGGAGTTCTTTACAGATGGGCTGATTTTAAAATATTAGTTTCTGTTTCTGTAGTCACTCTAATCCACCTGTTGAACACGGCACGTTCTGGTCTTCAGTTGTCATGAGTAGGGAAACTGGGTTTCCTCTGTGCACCTGAGTGCACCCTTGTAATAAGTTATGTGACTAGCAAAGAAGAATCCCACCGTCTAGCAAAAAGGGGAAGGAGGATGGGTTTTGATCATTTAAACTCACAACCATATTAGACTATTTCTTTCAAAATGTTTCTTTTTCACTGCCCCCCTGTTGGAGCTGGCAGTGGTGGTGGGGTTGCTACAGACAAGTCAGATTTTTCCAGCTCAGCTCTGGAGTTTCAATTGGGTGTTTATTAATATATCCATGCCCCCTGAAACATTGCTTCCTCGAGCAAACTCAGCCTTGTTGTCGTGTTAGGAAATGTGCAAAGACAAGATGTAAAGGTTACTGTTTGTTCCATGAGGATCTTGTATTGTACTTGTTATCAGTGTTGCAGCCACATTTGTTTGACAGTGAGTATGGTGGTAGGAGAGTGAGCATCAGGAAACCTCAGTTCTCTTCCCCAACTGCTTAAGGCTTATTTTGTAAATTAAGGTAGATTATTAAATTCTGTATCTCAGACTTCCTATTCTTTATCTGCCTTTTGTTAAGTGCTCTGTGATGTGCAGATGAAAGATGCTGCATTGATAAAGAATATGAGAATGCAGACGTGCATTCATGCAGATGACTGCAAGCTGGGCACATCTGCCCAGCTCTTGGAAAGCTGTTGCTGTTGCCCAGTTTGAGCCTGCCTCTCACGTACAAGCAAGCACATTCTTTATTTAGGGCTTGAGGACTATGTTAGCGTTTCATTAGTTTGATAGCACTTTTGATAAGGGGCTGAATCCAGTCATAATTGTTAATTACACATTCTCATTAAAGCATATATCTGCTATGTAATATCAGAAAGATAACAGTGGTCAAATACACTGATTACACTGCCTCATTGTTCTGCAAATCCACCCCTCTGTTACACATCATGAGACAAGGAAGCACGAAATCAATTACAAAACACCATTTTAAAATATCAATGACTTCTGTTGTAGGTGCTAGAGAAATCATATTTCTGCCATTCTGTACATGAAAGGGACCAGATAAAGTCCTTCTTGCCAGCACAGGAAAATTGCAGCTGCAGCATGTACTGCACATGATATTTCTCACTTTCTAGAAAGCACTGAAGAGAGTCTCTCTGTTTGGGGCCTGGTGTGAAAAACATTTAACTCCTTAATAATCCATTATCCAGGACTTTGAAACTTACCATCCTACTTGGTATCTTTCTACTTGACATGAAAAAGAAGGGGAGGATGGAAAATGTAAACCAGTGTTCCTTTAATACTCTGAGTCTTTGGTTTCATGACTGCATAAAAACTATTGTTTGGAGATTTATTTATTTTTGTTGTGTAGCACTGTTTAGGAATGGTTCGTGTTTTCTTCTACAGAATATTGATATTACCAACTTTAGCAGCAGCTGGAGTGATGGGCTGGCTTTCTGCGCTCTCCTGCACACGTATTTGCCTGCACATATTCCTTACCAGGAGCTCAACAGCCAGGATAAAGTAAGTTTTGTTGTACCTGCTCCTACAGCATTTGTAGAATTCACAGTAAACATTATCTGTTTTGATGGATTTGTGGTGGAGACACAGTGTTGCAAGATCTTGCTTGATAGAAAATAAGTAGGTGGGAGCAACAGTAAGAAACAAGTGTCAGTTGAGAACGTACAAAGCAAACAGACTGGATGAAAAGGGAAAGGAAACCAACAGTGAGCTCCCAGAGAGAAATGCAGGGACTACTAGATAAACAGTTAGTGACAAGTTGCCTGAATCCGGTGAGTGCTGCAGATAAACATGAAGACAGAATCCTTTTTGAAAGGCTAAAGCATTTCTGGACTCCTGAGTTAGCAGCACAAATTAAAAGTGCTGATCAATAGGCAGACAGATCTTTCATTGAGCTACTTGGACAGCAATGTATCTAAAAGTCAGACCATATCAACACATTCCAAATATGTTAAACCATCACAAAGGGGAGGAACTTGGATTTGCTGGATTTGCTTCAGACAGTTAGTATAATTCTTACTGTAATAGATACTATATAGAGGAATGCCTTATACTAGTTAACACCTCTTCAGAAACCTATCACTCATAATAAAGACAGAACCTCAGTGGGGTTTTTTTGCCCAGTTGTAACCAATTTCACAAGAACCTATTTGTCAAAAACACAGAGGTGTAGCTTGGGCAGAAGTAGATGAGCTATTCAAAGAGAACGAACTTGTTTGTGAGTATACCTTACTGACACAAAAAAGTGTCTGTGTGAAAGTATTGAATCTAGTGTTTTTCAGTTTTCAAATATATGTGCTCATTTAAACTTACTGATTAACCAGATGCAAGGTACGGTTCAGGAATCATACTTTGATGATAATCCTTTTGAACTTTTGTTTTATTTTTACAGAAGAGAAATCTGCTGTTAGCATTTCAAGCTGCTGAAAGTGTAGGCATCAAACCCAGCCTGGTGAGTAACCTTCTTTTAGCAAGGGAAGACTTGCTGCATACACCGTTCCGAAGCCAGTCAATCAGCCTGCACGGAAAGTGTTCACATAGTGCTAGGGAAGGCTGCACCACCATCTCTGAAAGTTCATAGTGTTAGCAGAACTTCCAGAAAGAATTTGCAGAATCAAATAATATAATTTGAAGGAACTTCTCGAGGTCATCTAGTATTGAAATGAGAGTATTGATTATGTCCTCCTCTTGGAAGCCGATTCCAGATGATTCCTATTTTCATGGACAAGCTTGTCTGTTAGACCATTTTCTTTCCTTCTGTTTTAGTGTTTTAAGAAACAGAAAGATAATTTGTTTGTTAAATTGCTTAAAAAGCCTTTTCTAAAGTCAACAATATGATGACAAGGAAGAGATAAGTTCAATATGAAGGAAAAAAGTGTGAGGTTCATGAACTAAATACAGAACCAAAGACATGCAAAGAAGCAACAATTTAAATGAAGTTATATAGAGAATTGATCTTTGATTGCAGATGGAAAAAATCTGTTCAGAATGTAAAATGCATATGGCTTTTAATTAGTTTGTTAACGAGTTTCAGAATTGCACTAGGCCAGTAGATCATTCCCATGGACTTTTACACTGGATGTGGCTTTAAGAAACTCTGGAATGGAAGCAGAAGTAGTGTTCAATAGCCACAGCTGCTCAGAGGGACCCAGTGATGTTCCCAGTGGTGGTGCTTTTTTGACTAAGTTTTGACAATGTGTCTGTCCTGTGCAGGAACTCAGTGAGATGATGTACACAGACCGGCCAGACTGGCAGAGTGTGATGCAGTACGTCGCCCAGATTTACAAGTACTTTGAGACCTGAGATGCAGAGCAAGAGGTGGACAGAAGTGGGGAAGAGAACAAAGAATGCTACAGATGCACTCGATCACTTTAAAAATCCGCTTGCTCCTCTTCCACAACCAACCTAAACTCTTAGTTTGAAAGAAAGCTCTTCCATTATTTTGATTACATCTGGGACTGCAACCAAATAAATATCCGTTGTCCATCTATACAAACCAAATTCATCTGTAATTTTATTCCTATGTGGAAATTGCAAAGCATTTTCAAACACGTGTGGGATATTTCTGAAGAGGATCCCTTGCGTTAAACAATGTTTGCCTAAAACCAGACTCCACCAACTGGAGACTTGCTACAAAATGAAGTTCTAAATCAATGTGGACTATGCTGGCACTCAAGGGAGGCTGGGAGATTAATATTAATACAAAAGTTCACAAAAATGCTCTTCTTGCCAAAACATGCTCAACTCATCCCAAATACATGTTGTTTTCTTGCCTCCATATGTTTTATAAAACATCCTGACAGAGGCACATAAGTGTGTAGAATCTTAAGAATGTGTGAGTTATTCTCACACATCTGACACAATAAGTATACTGGTTTGTTTGTCATAGCTTAACCAGCAGGTTAATAACAGGATTGTTTGTAACTTGGAAACCATGCTCTGTTCCCTCACCAGTTAGTGAAAGAACTCTGGAAGATCCTGCTAGGTGCTCAGACTTCATTTCAGATCAAACAGAAGTAATCTCTTTGAGGAAAAATAGGGTTATTACTACAACTTTGTTACTTGATTACTACGGGAAGCCAGAGCTCGGTTTTCCAGCTGACTGTGCAGGCACAGTTATCATAGGAATATTGCAAATGCAATTTACTAGCTTTAGTTTGCAAGGTGCCAGTAATCAGGTGATGACCCTCTAAGCAATACAGTGACATCTCAGTAGTTCCTATTTTTGTGGATTGAGTGGAGTAACTTCTTCTCTGTTGATCCTGTATAATCATCACAAATATGTAACTGCTGTGTAGAGGCATGAATCTTGAGACAGCCTGTGCCCTGTCCAATAAAAATGTAGTCCATAGGGCACTGTTACATGCTTGGAAGTAATGTTACCCTGTAAAGGAACACAGTAATATATTAGTACCAATGGAAGTTGCAACTTCACAGGTTACAAAGAATGTAACTGGAACCCCTCTCTGTGGCACAGAAGTCTCTCAGGCGCCAGAGAATAGCTTTCCAGATCAATAATACTGTTGGTAAAATGTCTGAAAGATACTGTTTAATTTCCATTATATTGTTTCTCTTATTTTACCTCATGAAGTTACATTTTCTGTTTGTCTCCAAGGATAGCAGGATCAAACAGGCTGCTTAATTTGTTCTGGGAGCAGGTCTTGGAGAGCATGCTTTGTACAGGACCTCATAGAAGGCGGTCTAGCTGCTTTAGATTATGCTGATAGAAGAAAGTTGTTGGTTTAGTTAGCATGTTTTACCCTGTGACTAGACTTGATGCTTTGTCAATGTTAATCATAGGGAGCTAGGGATCATTTCCCTCTTACAAAAAAATAATGGTGTGTACTCACTGCTCTTAACTCCTGAAAAAAGGCTCATGAAATAGAAACAAGCAATTTCACAGAAGAAACTTGGTTTCAGGTTTTCTGGGACTTTGCAGGTGGCTGATCTCAGCCTCTGGCTTCCGCAGAGCACTTTGTTGTTTGTTTGGATTTTTAATACTATTTAATTAGTAAACAACCTATTTCAGACTTTCGTTTTCTCACAGCAAAATACAGGATTAAGGGATAGATGGCAGTGGCAAGGTCAGTGAGTATATTGAACAGAAAGGAAGTTGGAGGAATGCAGTGTATGCCTATTTCACAGGAGGAGAAAAGCATCACTTGCTCTTAGTTCTAGCCTGACATTTATTCTAATCCATCGCCCGCAGCAAAGTCTGATTCCAATCTTTTGAGAGTCTATGTGATGAAAGAGGACAGTGGCAAGCACTTACAGTGCCCTTGCACTCTTTGTGTCATCTTACAATGTGAGAAAGCAGTTGTAAATGCTAGCCAGAGTTATTTCTTTGCAAGAGAATGCTTTCTAGATTGAATTAACTCTCCAGTAATTTTCAGCATACACTCTGCCATCCCTAGAGAACATGGGATGAGTTGCTCTAAGTGTTCTCAGCTACAAGTCTCCTGTTATGGGATAAGATGGAAGAGAAAAATAGCTGCTAAGCAGAGTTCATTTAGGAAGGCAGTTACACTGCAGAGCTCCATTGCCTTGTGGATGGAGTAGGCTCTTTTCCCTTGAGGTATCCATTGGCAGAGATCCCAGTTCTCTCCAACGGGCTGTAGTTCAAAGAATAGTGAAGTCAACACAGAAAATTCCATATTCCTCAGTGGGCTTTGGATCGGGCACTTGCAGGGATGAGAAAAACTGTTTTAATTCCCAGCATCTGATAAACATTTCAAAGTCAGAGCGCTTCACTTGATCTAAAAAAATAAGATAATCTTAACCCTCTGGTCACTGGAAGTGTGTGTTCCATGTGCCTGTCAGATGGACACTAAATATGTTACCTAATGTGTCAGTGTCATTTGCTTCAACCGCTGTTCTGACATTTATTCTAATCTGTTTCTCCAAGACACATTCTAGCCTTACAAACCATCCTGTTTGATCTAGCAGCTTTTTTTTTCCCAATTATTTTTGCAAAGCAATGTTTCTGTCATCTCTTTGCAGCTTATTCTTCCATGCCCCCGGTAGCATAGACCAAACACTAATTCTGCCCGATTCTAATGGTATATTCTTAAAATTTTTTTACTTATCTAGGTGTTAGATCAAGGAGCTGTCTGTCAATAAGGAAGAAGATACTCGGTTTCACCATTTACTCAATGTTTACTTTTTGGTCCTCAAATACACAAAACGTCTCATTTTGAAATGCTGATACTTTGAGATTGAAAGATGGTCTCCAGATTATTTTTGGAGGTTAAGAATATTATTTGTCCATTTAACTGTAACAATATTGTGTATTTTTTCTTCCTTTTGAACCTTGCACAGTTACATTTCTAGACCTGGATTTTCAGAAATTGCTGGTTTTTCATGTTGCTTTAGAATCTGAATCTGAATTTAAATTTGTCCCAGACAAAATGCTGCAGACCAGCCTGATTTTCAGAAAATCTACAGGCCCTTGTAAGACATCTCAAATTTGAACTGCAAAATTAAAGTTCTAGCTACCTTTAAAATTAGAGAGTTTGTTACATAACTTAAGCTAGAGGGTATAGGGATAGTCTTCATAGAATTTCTGAGAATCCTCTGAAAATGTCCTAGAATGGAACATGTGATGATATGACATGGATGGTGTAATGCATTGTATCAGTAACAGTTTGCCTCAACTTCCTAAATCCTTTCTGACTTTGCCTCTTAGGAGTAAGGATCTTTCTCTGATGCAGACAGATGAAATCTCTTCACCATGTCACCATATGCTCCCTAAATATACCGTCACTCTTAAACATACCTGCACATGCTTGTATGTGTGTACTTGGGTAGTCTGTGGGACTACAAGAAACCAAATAGCTGATTTGGGATGAGCACGTGAGAAGAATGGTTAGGATGGGTATTTCAGTGAAGTTCCATGGAGGGTTATCGCGTTGTGTGACTGTTGTACTATAGCTGTTAGAGAGGAAAAGAGGTTAAAGTGTGAAAAGTATACAATCTGACTCCCAGAATTTCTGGTGAGCCATAGAAGATACAAATTGTTTCATGGCTTGGGAAGGTACAGAGGTGTTGAGAAGCGAGCCCGGAGTCAGCCCTCTAAGAAGGTTTTCTAGAAAGACTGATGAGCTGTTTCTGAAAGTATGCAATGAAATGGAATGGAGGGAAGGTCCAGCGTGTGAGGAGAGGGGCATATGTGGGACATACATACCTGGGCCTTTGTGGACAGCTTGAGAGTCCTTACTAACTGTCATCTTGAGTGACATTTCTCCAAAGAGTGCAGCCTGGGGTGGATCTCAGAAGATGAGGAGGGAAGAGAGCACAGAGCTTGCTGCCTTTGCCAGGTTCCCCTTCCTGTGCCGGTGACAGTCACGGAAATGCAAAGGGGACAAAGATTTCCCAGTTCTTCCTGTGCTGCAGCGAGGCAGCTGTACTAAGCAGAGTAGTTTTTGACTTCTGCACGTTCTCCAGCTTCCTCTGTGAGACACATTCTCTTTGAGTTTTGGCAGGTTTTCTTTTTGTAATTTGAAGTTTTCTACAGGTTTTCTTTATGATTTTTCTTGTTTTGTATGTGCAAACAGTTATGTGCAAGTTTTCTGTCCAAACCAAATAAGCTTACACTGGCAGAATGATTGGTTCTTCCCTATTTGATTCCTGACCTGGAACTCTTAAAAAATTCACCTTTTTGCTTCAGTGACTTTCCCCCTTCCTTGGCAATGAAAATACGAGCATTGGCTCACTAGTTTGCTTGTAGCTCCCTCATCTTTCCGTGCTTACGGTACCGGGTCTTCCAGCAGGAAGTATCTGACGGGGCCACCTGTTTGCAAAGCTGTGCCTTGTGTATCTGATAAAAGGCAGAGTCTGTATGGGATGAGATTATGCATTTTCCTGTCGGAAGAGGGCTTTTGCCTAAAAAGACTCAGGGCACTGAGCATTAAGACATTTTTAAACCCAGCAATAACTTCAGCTATGCTAGACTATATTGGTTTCTACCAATTCCAGTGCCATTTAGACTCACTCACCAATACGGTGTAGAATCAAGCTTAGAACTGAACTGCAGTTAACATTTTTCTCAACTGATGGTCTCTACATTTTTGACTTGCCCTTGTGCCAAGTTCCACTGAGCAGTGCTGGACACAATGTTTTTATTGATTGTTGGTCCAGGCTTGAGTTTGTGGTATGGGATAACCACCTCTAACAGTCAAGTACTTTTAGCTTTCTCTGTTGGGTACAGATGTTACATCGTAACCTAATTTATACAAAGAGCACATTAGAATGTATATACTAGGCATTGCCAGATTTGGACATGCTAATATTTAAAGATTAACATTATTAAAATGTACGATGCAAAAATCTGTGTAATATTTCTAATAAATCTTTTTCTGTTTCTGATGTTTGTTGTAATGTTTCAAATATCTACATACAAAACAGATTCTTCTGCAGTCTGCTGGGAAGCAGGACTCCCAGGAGACTTTTAAAAAGATACTCATGGTTCATTGATTCTCCTACGCTGGTAACAAAGAAAATTTGGTCAGAATCTTCTTCTCATAAATACGTCGAGTTCCATCTTTTAGGTAACTTAAATGCATTTGAATGC